TTCTTTTCTGCAGCATGTATCCTTTTCGGTGGACTGTGTTTCATCGTTGGGGCTTGCTACATTATTACAGTATTCTGTAGCCAAGACAGCATATTTCTGCCTATCTGGGTGATGGTTTTCGTCAATGCTTTGATTGCCGTTGGCGTAGCCGCATTCGTAAGGGACCCGGAAGCACAGGCCAAGACATTCAAGGTATGCTCTTCCTACATAATTATTTAACCTTAGTGGTACTTGTTTCTGTTTTTGCTGTTCTGTTCTGAGATGTAAACGACGTGGCACATCGTCGTGCGTACTTCAGATTCGCGCTTTCTCTCACGCTTGATTAGTTGAAAATATATTTGAATTAATTTCTGACAGACTTGATACTTTCTTATTAATATTAATACTTGATACTTTCTTAGTAATGATGAATCAATTCATATCAAATGCGGCGCTGTGTTTTGCTTTACGCCTCTGCTTTCAGGAGCGCTTCCTAGCTTTATACTTGGGCGGAATGCGTGATTTGTGCAACGAGGTTTCGAGAGTTACTCTTTTCTTTCCTCAGCGCAACATGGCTGGAACATCTGCCATTGGCCTTCTCCCCACGTTGTTCTGTGGATGCTTGACGCGGCCATTCTTTATGTTCCGGCCTTCAACGTACTGGTGTGTGTGCATCAAGCATTTGGTACCTTTCGTCATGCTTGTAACAATATCTGATGGTAAGGAACAATGCACGGATAATCACAGCTCTCCCCTTGCTGCAGCAGATTGCTTTGCATGAAACGTTTGCTCGCTATGTGCTTCTGAGGGTACCCGTTGCAAAAACTTTCTTGTGGTTATTGCCGGGGTTGTGTTAAGCTTTTCACGCAATCCCAACGCCGCCTTTTTTTTCTGTTGCGTCTTCGTTGTTTCAGCATGGCACCGCTTTGACCTGCATTGGGATTCAATGAAGCGGTCTCCCAACATGAGGAATTTCGGTGCCGCTTTGCTCGGAATGGCCGCTTGCTTCCTCGTATTAACACCTCTGATACCCAAAGTCCGGTTGTTTCAGATACTAAATAGTTTAGTTTTCATTTACCCCCGAGGGTTGATCTTTTCCTCCTTCACGCAACAACCCAAATACCTCTGTCGTTGTATTCACTCGTGCGGCTGTCACCCAGTACCTGCGGTGTGCGGTCAATCATCCAGATGCCGGCCTGCTGTTTTGTTCTCTAAGGTTGAGATGTTTTGATGGCTTATTGTGTGGTGATGAACGCAGGTCCGCGACTGGGTGAGGCCAGTTGCAGAGGACTACATGTCAACATTGGCGTTCCCAAGCCACCCCTTCGTGCCGTGGCGCCGGATGTCCTTCTTGTCACTGATGCCGACACTATTTCGCGAACATCTCGCGCGTTCAAAAGAACCCTCGGCTACTGTCAAGAGCCTCATGCTCGAGTACAAGAAGCAGAGGCTACCCTTCATGACCTCCTTCCCTGCAGAAGGCGGAGCTGCCATTTCAGAAATGGAATTGGCGCTACAGCAGCCGCGCCTCCGTGATAGGAGCTTAGATCTTCAGCCAAGGCAGCAGCAAACACAGCAGCTGTCCTTCGGCAGCAAGAACTCAGACGACAGTAAGGCACCTAACATGGGGGTCCACCAGCACACAAAGCAACGGACGCAGCACGGCACACATTCTGCTCATGCTGCCGCTTTCCCTTTACTATGCATAATTGAGCTGTAGTTTTGTGTGTGTGGCTTTTAGGGGATCTGTGAGGCGTTGAGTTTGAGAGAGTTTGAGAGATGCTCTTGCTCTCCTTCGAAAGCGATTTAATATGTCGGCCACGCCACTGAGAGCTGCACCGAGGGTTTCGCTTCAAATATTCAGCTTTCGCAGTGCCAGCACTAACTGGCGCGCGTGCTACACATGCAGTGTTTCAGATTCCTGAAATAGAGATGAGTTTCGCGGGGGGTTCCTCCTAGGCATTCAGCACCAGACACCACCATTTGTTCGCCTTTAGCGTATTCTCCCCTCTGATGATGCAGCCACGAAGCGCATATGATGATGATGCTTGCACAATAATAAACCCCTCGCGAGTATCCAGAGCCCTCAACAGCAGACTCTCAGCTCAGTTATTATTTATGTTTGAAGAAGCTGCACACTGCTGCAGTGCTGTTCGACTGGGAAATTTGTTTTTTCCTTTCTTCTAAATCAAGACAGATGTGCATTCACATGGTGTGAACAATGTGAAATTCTAGAATATATGGACAGCTAGCAAATATCAAGGAGAACACCTCCTGAATGCAAGAAACTAGAGTAGAGGTTCCTTTGTAGTTTTAAGCAAAATGCCACCCAGCAATAGCTTTCGCCAACATAAGTAGGGGTGGCGGCCAGCATTAAAGGATAAAGGGGAACCCGGTTGAGTCCCGCGCGCCAAGTTGCATTTGTGCGTGCATGCAGCTTCTGTGCTGCTGTAGAGTGCAAACTGCTGTAGAATGTATGCTGCTGCATAGCTGCGCAGCAGCATTAAGGCGGCGTCTGTCTCTGGTGGCGTGGTCGCAGCCATAGACTGCGAAAAAGCCTCCCCTTCCGTCACTGCCGATGAAACGGCCTCTTACCAGATAGCCGATGGAAACCCGCAAAGCAGTCACTAGTGTACTTCTACGGGACAGCAAGCGATGTGAATTAAATGCATTTCTGTCTAAGCTGGTTATTATATTGTAAGCACCAGTTCCCGTCTATACGGGTGCTGTCGTAGACACCTGTTTCTGTCGGTAGACGGTGATGGGGAGCATTCACTGTGTTACAAGGTGCCAACAACATCCTACACGCAAACATAAACAAAGCAACTTTCATTTGACTCAATACACGCCACAGAAGGCAGCAGGCGCTATCAACAAGGCGCAAACGGCGCAAACGAAGATGCAAACATAACACGCACGATGAAATTCTACAGCATGTGCTGTACTTCAGCGCAATCAACATAATATTCTCGTATCGCGGTATCGAACGTGTTGGCTTACCTCTAGAGCTGCTC